TAAAGTATCAAATTGAACTTTTGTTCAATAAAAATCTATCAAATGCGACTGTAGCTTTTTTTTCCCCAAAACAAAACTTTGTCTTCAAAATAAGGGTGCATCTTATATTCTGAAAAATACGGTAGTTTAGAAAAATTTGTTGAAAATGTCGATGGGGTCCTTATGAATCCCATTGATAATTCTAGGACTACAACACAGAAATAACTCTAAAATATGTTTAATGTACTTCATCAGTTTTAATATGTTAATAATATCATATTGTGTTGCATTTTAATTTAAATTTTTTTTTCAGGAAAAGGGAGAGAGGAAGATGAAATCTGATAGTAGAACTGCAAGTACATTTCGTCATCGACTTCAGAATCGGAGATTTTCATCTCCTGTTCTTGAGGAGGATGAGGTATTTCAGTGTAGTTAAATGAAGGTTTTGTGCTGGAGAGGTAGAATTACATTGAATTCATAAGTTTGCCTCTATTTTCATATTTGTATAACAAAATTTATGTCTTTAATCATATCTTTTGGAGTACTGTTGTTTATCTGTCCACTTGTTTATTGATGCTATATTTATGACATCAGTATGTGCAAAGAGAATTGTTTATATATTACTTCTCCACTGTACACAGTTGACAACCTAATTCCTTTATACTTTTATAAATATTTCATAAGATAAGAGTAAGTCTCTTTTTATTTAATATCAAAACATATTTTTATATCTAATGCTATGAAAATTATTCTACAGACATTTGTCAAAAAATAATTAAATATTAATTTTACTAAATTGAATACATTACTTGTATATCTTTAATCATAATTAATGGAATTACAGATAGAGGGTCCATGTGGATTCCAAGGACTTTATAAACACATTAGCAGATGCCCATTGAAACAATTCAACAATAATTTTTTTAAAAATAGTGATGAATAAATATAATATCTACAGTCAACCCAATCACTTTTATCAGAGTGTATATGCAATATGATTGCTTAGTGGGCAGTTTACAACCGTTTTTATCATTCGATATGTTATTTCAATAGTGAAAATTGCATTCCATTTGTTTGCAAGCAAAGGAGACTGAATACAATGCACTGTTGGTAAAAATTTATGGGTTTCAATGCACTTGGTCTATCCAGCATGACAGAGTGCTTAGGTTCGCTAAACAGCCATGGGGATTTTTTCGGCTGAATGCCACCATTCCTTGACATTTTTCTGAGTGCAAGAAAAGATCATTTCCAAAATGAGCACTTTTTGACAGATCTCATTTCTATAAGAAGTGTCAAAGGGAAGATATTCAATTAAGTGCAAATAAGTTTTTTAACATGGTACAATAAAATTATGCATGTATTTAATACTGACAGGAAAAAAATGTATCAACTGCTCAAACATATTTCTGTCTCTATACTTTTTTTTTTCTGTTCATGCTTCTATCTGTGAAATATTTCTTTCAGTCAGTGTAGGGAGGAAGTCCCCCTTTTTTAACAAATTTTCTCACATAAAGAAACATTTTTGTTCTTAATAAGATAGATTCTCAGATTGACTGTTTAGCACATATGAAGACTGATGGATATTGATATGAAATTTTGGAAATTGCAAAAAATTACTAATTTTTCTGTAATTTACTCTTGAAAATAAGCATTTTGATATATATATATATAAAATGTTTTTTCTCCAATTAACCATTTAGGAGATACAGAGTGACAGACAGATAGACATTTGGCTATTAGATATATATACATATATACCATATTGCCCCTAATTAATGTTCCTGGGGGTGTTACAAACTGCAAGTGGGGGGGGGGAACTAATTGTAGTATTTGTATATTTACGGATTCTATTTTTCACATGTGATTTTGATGCTAATAAGTGTGTATTTGTTTGTTTTTCTTCTTCATTTTTTCAAATCAAAATTATTGTGATAAAAGTGGATTATATGTTGGATTACTACTGCTGTCACACAAGGTAAACTTTATAAAAATTCTGGGGGGTGAGATGGTTAATTAGAGAAAGGGCATTAATTAGGGGCAATATGGTATATTCTGAAATATATTTACCAAATTGGATGTAAACTCATGCTTATATGACTCCAAGGTCCCTAATAACTTACTGAAGTACTATCAATGCTAAAAATAAACCCACTATGTGAAATGACTTATTTTCTATGTATTTTATGGAATCATTTAATAGGTAAAAACATAAAATTATTCATCATTGTGCAATACATAAGCCCCATCAGTAGTGAATGATATGAAAACAATTAGGTAATTTGAAGGTTAATAAGTTTTTCAGTAAGATATGAGTATTACCTTTCATTCAATTTCTATATCAAAATATTTTGATAGTGCATAAGCTGAACAAGAAAATATATTGCAAAAAATTCAATTATTGCAAATGTTTTTACTTTGACATTATTTTATAATGTCTTTTTTTTCATAATATTATCAGTGTTGTAACCTCATGAATGTCTTGTCTAATATTTTAAAATTTTGAACAATGCTAATGATATTTTATTTAAATAGGTTGTAATATTGAATGTAATGCCATCTATCACTTGAAACAGGCATAAGTTAAGGTTGTATAGTGATATAAGAAAATATTTTCTTTTGTATTTTTATTCTTTTTTTTTAAATTAACTGTGCACATACAGGGTGGTCCAAAATTAATTTTCCTATTTTAAAATTGAATAATTAACTCTCCCAACAAGGGCTTGGTCAATTTGATCAACAATGTAACCTCTTTGTACTCATTTAAAGTCTATATAGATTTAATACTTCTAACTTTCAATGTAGTGTGTATATCTTCACAAAATTTGGCAGTCTTTCAGTTAACATTATGTCTTTCACATACAAAAAATCATATTTTCAGTGAAGTATTTTTAATAAACTATAGCCCCCCAGTGGCACAGCGGTATGTCTGGGGACTTACGATGCTAGAAACCGGGTTTCGATACTCGTGGTGGGCAGAGCACAGATAGCCCATTGTGTAGCTTTGTGCTCAATTCCAAACAAACAAATAATAATTCCAAACAAACAATAAACTAAAATAAAGATTTGTCTATGAATATATTGAGTACTTGTTTTGAATAGTCCATGTGCAAAGTGATTTTCATGTTAAGATTATAAATACTTCATCTCAAAAATCTCAGATTTCCTTTGTGTAATCCATAAGACCTCCTAAATACATTTTGAACGTTTTTTTTCAGTAAAACTCTATATTTTATCTGTTTCTCTATCCTATCTCTATATGGGATCGACCAACTTGACCGACTCCGTAACCACCAAAAAAGAAATTGAAATAAAACTTAATTTCCCTTTTTTTCTTTTTAGAATGACTTCAAATTGTAACATGAAACTACATTTGTTTATCCTAAGTAGCTTTAATCTCATAAAAGTATACATCTATTTATAATTAAATTTTGTTGTTTTATTGCCCTTTGAACGATGTTTAAGCACTATTCATGCCATTATAAGTTGTAAATCATTCGGGGAACATGCAGCTCACATTAAGCTATCGATTTACATTACCCACAACCACGAGCTACTATGAGTTGCTCACATGTGTGTCTTGTGAAACATTTTTATTATATTAATTATTATTTATTTTACCTAATTTAATCTTAACTAACCTAAAAAGATCCCTATTTTTACATATTAATTACTTTTATAATTTTACCCAATCTTCATTTTACTTGCTTTCGATTGTCAGTGACAGTTAACCCTACTTTTTTATACTAATGGTTGTAATGCACTAAATAATTTTTATTTAAATAAATAATGCACCAAAGAACATAGACTAGTAACATGCAAATAGTAGACTATTCTCCTAACTAAAACGTTTTTTTGGCTTTCTGCCTATGCAACAAAAGCTTGTCCTTAACTTTCCCATAGCTTGTACTCTGAGTGAAATTGACAGTTATCTGTTGAGAACACAATGGTATACAGTACGTCATTTTATAGAGGAAACCTTGACCTTTTATTGGTTATAGGTAATATATAATTAAACGTAAGAGAGAGCTACTAATGAATTCTGAAAGAGAGGATGTGGCAGGGGGGGGCTGATTTTCTATTCGATAGCTCTGTAACCAAAACGAAATTTAAGCCTAAAAATTATGGTTTGTCTGAGCAATGACAATTTTATAGTGAGTAATTGATGTTTAATTTTGGAGTTTATGTGGATGGGTGTGTGGATAAAATAGATATGAGAAGATA